CCCCCCCCCCCCCCCCCCCAATCCCCGGGGATGAGATACACTGTACTGGAAGCGAAAGGTCCGGACAGTCTGCGAGCCATGGGAAAAATATAGTTTTATAAAATTGTAGGGGTATGAAAAATTTTTCCTGCTTAGTTCCCTGTGAGTATCCCAGGTTTTGCTGATGAAATATTCGAGTCTACTGACCACGGTTAAGCACTCGCTTTACGGATTAGGGTTAAGCCCTGTTTAGGGTTAAAACACTTTTTTGACGGATTAGTGTTAGGCGCTTTTTGGGGTTAAACACTCATTTACAACAGTAAGCTTTCGGTTATTTTTTCGCATTACTTCTTTTTCGATTTTCAGTTTCAATAATTCTTTCGCATGGCTCGCTGGCTCGCACTGTGTCCTAGGCCTAAGGGAGATCAGTGTCTTCGGCCCCAAACTCAAAAATTGCCTGTGAATAAATTCCTTCACTCTGTAAACATAAGCAGGGGTTCTCTTATGAGATATGGATTGAAATTAATGAAATTTGATGACAGACAAAGGTTGAGCCCGGAGCGAACTGGATTATTAATCACGCCTGCCGTGCGCGGTTTTTGTTTTGATTCTTTAATGAGACGACGGCACGCATGGAAAGCGGTTTCTCGATGGTCACGAACCAGTCTGACCGGTACGTCGGCACCTACACGTCATCCTGGAGCCTGCTTCAGCTTCGAGCAACAGATTTTGCGACGATATGATTCAACACACTGTTTATGGCGCTACATTTTGCTATTATTTCGTAATTTTTCGTAAAATTTCCAGGTTGAGACTTTAACGAAGGCCTTCATCTACTTTCCTGGTCATGAAAATTTTGTCAATATTATTTTTCCTGCTATTATTTTTCGCTTGCATCGTAAGGTATGAAGCTTTTGAAGATGTTTTGTAGCACGTTAATTTTAGTTACTACTATTCTACGTAGGTTAGGTCTAATAAGATAATTTTTACCTTGCTTTACAGCCTTCAAGCTCCCGATGGAAATAAGGAAGCCATTCCCTCCGTTGCTGAGAAAGGAGAACCGGATTTATCGGAGGCGTTATCCTCTAACATTGAACCTGTACGTGTATGTAAACCATTAATCAAAGTTTAATATTAGTACTGCTGTTTACTAGATCAGAAACGTCCACAGGCTGATATTTGCTAACTGTTTCGTGGCTTAAATTAATTCATCATCAGATGTGTTGTTTTAAAAAATGATTTTAATATTACAAGGAGAAATGAAACGGCTTACATTGAGTTCTAATTGTCACGCGAACTTCGAACTAGAAGTTACATATATGCAAGTTCAGCGAGGTACAAGTATTCATTGGACATGTACCTTGTTGAAATGATGTTTGTTGAAATGGTAATACCAGTTGGTTATATTTTTCGTAGTAAAATCTCCGTTTCTTTTTCTGGCGTTTTATAATTCATAAATTATGTTTTAAAATGTGCCTAGCACTAGCTAACTTGTTTACATGTTCATGTAATGGTTAGTAGCAGCTT